ATCTCCACCCCCCCAGCTTCCCCTCCGACCCCCCCACCATGATCTCCGCCCCCAGCTTCCCCTCCGACCCCGACCCCCCATCCCCAGACTTTGATCTTCACCCCCCAGGCCCTACCCCAACCTCCCCCCGACCCTGATCCCTGCCCCCCCAGCTTCCTCCCTACCCCCAGTCTGCAATCTCTGCCCCCGTCCCTGCCCTGACTGGGTTTAACCCCTGGGAAGATGTGGGGCCTCCTGGGCCTGGGCAGAGGCCCTGGAAGTGGAGCTGGGAACCTCAGGACTCTGATCCAGCTGGGGCCGAGGCTGGTTCTGCGCCAAGGCCTGGCTCTGTGGTTCCCAAACCGCTCGCTCCTGGGGCAGCTCGAAACGAGCCTGGGTCTCCGCCAGCGTTCCCTCTCCCCCGCCCCCCGTGTGACCCATCACCTTCACATCGGTGCACACAACAAACTTCATGGGGTGGGGGTGGGGCTGAGGGGTTCAGAGTGTGGGAGGGGGCTCAGGGGTTTGGGGTGCAGGGGGGGTGCTCAGGGGCTACGGCAGGGAGAGAGGACTCCCCCCTGCGCTCTCTCCCCACAGCAGCAGCACCTGGGCTAGGGGGGAGAGGTGCCTCTCCCCGGCACGGCAGCTCTGGGGTTGGGGCTGCAGGGTAGGCGGGTTGGGGGCCAGGCTAGGTGGGGGCCAGGGAAGGGGCACCCCTCCCCCGGCTGCAGCAGGACCCCAGATGGGTTTCTTGAGCACCCGTAGGGCACTAGATAGGCTGCTGCGCGGCCACGCAGCTTACAGGGAACTTCGGTCTTTGGGCCATCGGTGCCGCTCAGCTCATCTACAGATTTGCCTGGTTTTACAACAGGCTACATAAAAAGCACTAGCGAAGTCAGTACAAACTAACATTTCCTACAGACCATGACTTGTTTCTATGTACTGTGCACTGACACGATTCCCATTGATTTGTTTTATAATGATACGGTACCTGAGTATCCCTAGGGTACCCGACCCCCTGGGCGAGAACCATTGAACAAAGGGATCCCTGTGCCTGCCCAGGCAGGTTAAAAACAGCCCTCCGCTGGCTGGGCCTGAGCCCCCCAATCCCTGCCTGCTCTGCAGGGCCCTTCCCGAAGATCTTTCAATAGCAAGCGTTGCTGGTGCCCCTCCCGCAGTGGAGCTGGTAGTGAGAATTGCCACACGTCAGCGCACCGGTCCTTCCCCTTGCTGAGCCCGCCTGGTGTTTGCTGGGCATGAGTACCAAAGCGGCAGGATTTACCTGCCTGAGCGCCTGGCTGGCTGCACTCCATTTGCTGATCCAAAATGCAAGTTACTGTCTCTTTTCACCCTGCGCCTTGCAGGCCTTTCCGGTGCGCGGCTGGTCGCCGCTACAGCAGACTGGCACCTCCAGGCTGCAGAGTGCGTATGACTATGGCAAACAGACCCACCTTGCAGGCCTGGACCTCAAACCCTGTGCGTGGCCCAGGCAGCACTGGGCCGGCCCACACCTGCGAAGCTGCAGCACATTGGGCAGTTACTCTCCAGCAGTGGCGCTGGCTGAGGCGCCCTGGGCACATACAGCATCTCTAGCTCTTTGGGCAGGGTTTGACACCTGCTCTGGCAAACAGGGAGGGGGCCAGTTTGCTGCCCCTCCCCTCTAACTTGTGGGTTGTCTCTTGGGGTGGGTGCCTAGGCTGCTCCTCCCCACCCACCTTCTCTCTGTTCTTACCTGCCAATCCCCCGGCTCTGCCATATCTGCCCGCTCTCCTCTCGGCCAGGCACTCATCCTTGTCCAGCAGCCGAAAGGCCACCCAGCATCGCTTGTCACGCTGCCCGTCTCCAGCGAGATTGGCATAGCCCGCTCCCTGCTGGGGGAGAAGCTGAGAGACTCTGGTGCTGGGCATCCGTACACAGCCCTCCCAGCCACCACAACTGCCAGGCTGGGTCAGAGCAGGGCTCCGCCTGGCTGTTTCCTGCCGCCAACGGTGGCCCACCCCAGCTGCTTCAGAAGATAGAGCCCCATAGATGGCAGTAATGGGGCAACTGGACTCGGGGCACTTCCTCCAATGCTCCCAGTTGCGGTTGGCTCGTGCCCTAAAGCAGGAGGGTTCCTCTCCCTCCCAAGCGCTCGTTTGGTTTTCATATTTACTCATATCTCTGGATCTCCTTTTCCATGGAAACATCTGAGTCCCTTTTGGATCCTGCTGAAGTCTTGGCCTCACTGCCATCATGTGGCAGAGAGTTCCCATGGCTAATCCTGCACTGAAAGAACAGACATGTCCTTTGACCGTCTGTGAACTCGCTGCTTCTCCATGCACTGACAGCCTGCCCGAGAGCAGCGGCCCTGCCCCTCATTGGGTATTTTATCACATCTCCTGGCCCAAGGATTCAGTTTCTCCACAGAGGTGGGGTCCTCCTCCCCTGGCCAGTACTAACGCCTGGCCTCCAGGGGGCGGCCCAGAGGCTGTTTTAACACAGGCCTTTGGGGTGTGACTTGTGCAGCTGAAGCTGCAGTGGGGCTGAAGGCAGCAGAATGACCTGCCCTGAAGTGTGGCTGGGCCCCACCTCCTGACCACGCTGGTCAGCGCAGCACAGGCCCTTGCAGGGGGAAGGCTCCTGCTGAAGCAGCAGCACTTCCTGTAGCCCACCACCTCCCACCCACGTACTGACCTGCATCCCAGCAGAGGCTGCTGGACGTGGGGGCTGGTGTAACTCCCTGTCCCAGCCTGGCCTCCTGCACCCCGGGGCATGCTGGCTGAGAGGTGCCTGATCACGCACCCTTGCCTGCAGCAGCCAGGGGGTCTGGCAGGAGCACATGGCCCAGCCCCTGATACCAGGCTAAGGAGCCTCCTGCCTGTGCCAGCCCGGCTGGGTCAGTGCCAGAGCCATCAATGGCGGCACTGGAAAGGCCGTCCGTACTGCCACGGCTGCCGCAGGGTGCGAGCCAGGTGGGGCCTGCTTGCTGGCTCCCGTGGCCAAGCGGGAAGCTGCGATGAGCCCGCCCCCGCTGCTTGGCCCTAGCGTGGGGCCCTCTCATTGAGCCGCGGGACAGAACAGGACCTCCAGAGGCCATTAGTCCAGTCCCCTGCCCTCAAGGCAGGGCGAAGTGTTTGCCTCTCTGCACTGACCCATTCCCCCTACACCCCCCCAGCCGGCCGGCTCGGCATGCAGTCGCTGCGGGCAGAGGTCAGCATGGGACCGCTGGGTTTGACAGCAGCCAGGCTCTCAGAGGGGCCGGGGGCAGGGGAGCGTTTGGCACAGTCTTTCCCCCCTCCCCCAGCGCCACGAGGGGGCTGTGATGTCACGGCTGGAGCACCCTCAGGCTGCTGCTGATCAGAATCAGTGCCAGGGCCCTACTGCTAGCTCGGGGCCTGCCCCCTCCAGCCCCCCGCTAATCACACAGCACACACACCCGCTCTGTGTCCAAATGGCATTTTATCTTTCAGCATGAAAGATTTTCACAGTATCAAAAGTAAATAATTAAAAAAACCAGAGAAGCCAATCTGGCCGTGGCTGGTTGCGCAGCACGATCCCTGCGCAGGTGGGGCGAGGGCAGCGGCACCTTTCCAGCCGCCTGCAGGCTGGCAGACCGGGGTAGCACCAGAAATCGTGGTCAAGAGATCGGCAGTTTGTTTCCGTTGCAGCTCACTAAGGGGTAGGTTGGTGTGGGGAACGCAGGGCATGTGTGCGGGGCGGGGGACCCACTGCCTGTCCGTCCCTCTGCCCTTCAGCACACATATGCTAAGAACAGACTAGGGGGGCGCAGCTTGGTCAGCCAGAGCCCCCAGCCCGCCCTGGCTCCCACTCCTGTCACATAGGAGTCAGACTGGGATTATGGTACAAGCAGGGGCCCCGGTGGGCCAGGGATTCACCAGAACCCAGCAAGCTGCCGAGGGTGGAGCCACATGGTGGAGCCCTGGTGTATCTGCACAGGGCAGGAAGAGCCGTCATGGAGCAGGTGGCAGAGCTCAGGCTGCGTTCTAGGGGGCGTTCTACCCCTGCTGGGCTGCCTGGCACCCTCTTTTCCCCCAGCCCCAGTGCCGCTTGGCCCAAGCTGGGCGGGGAGGTGGAGTGCACGTGCTGCTCCCTGGGGTAGAGAAAGCCCCCAGCCCGTCCTGGGCATCCCTTACCCCCGGCTCCATGAGCTCAGGCGCCCAAGCCCTGCTTTAGAAGGGCTGGGCTGGGCAACATGCCCATCAGAACCTCACCCTGTACTTGGGGGGCGGGGGGAGGGGAACAGGTATTGCCCCCTGAGCCGGCCTGGCAGCCTGACGTGCACAGGCCCACTCGGCCATAGGGTTGGCCAGAGGAAGAGCTAGGCACAGCCCAGCTGGTACCAACCACGTCCCTCCCCCGGCTCCCGGAAGTGCTGCTGTGGGTGCCCGCTGCCCCTGGCCGGGCATGCCCCTTTGGGAACCCGAGAGCAGTGAGCACATGGGCTGGTGCAGGGGGGGCGGGGAGGGCTGCTGCTGGGGAGAGCAGTTCTAGGGCGGTGGGGGCAGCGCCCGCAGGCTGGGGGCCCCGGCCCGTCTGCAGGTGCTGCTGGGCTAACGGAACACTGCAATGTGCTCGTTATGGTGCAGCGTGCCCCTCCAGCCAGGAGAGGTGCTCAGGGCCTGCAGCTGCATTGTGACTGGAGGCGGAGGGGCCAGGAGAGGACTGAACTCAGCCCCTAGGCAGAGTGGAAGTTGCAGCTCCTGCCTGAGGCCCAACCCCTCAGCCAGGCTGAGACACAGGGGGTCAGCTGGACCCCTCAGGGAGCTGCAGGAAGGTGGGTATCTCCTGTGACAGGCTGCCAGGGCAACTGAGCTGGGTGGGGGGGAGGGCTTAGGGTGTCCCATGAAGCCAGGAACAAACAACAAAAAAAGTTGGGTTTTTTAAATAAAATAAAAAATTAAAAAGTTCTTTATTAGGTCCAGCATGGTCCTTTCCCCCGGCTGCGCGCCAGGCTGGCACGGGGGGCTGCCCACTGGCGCTGGCAGGCTCCCTGCACATCACCAACGGAGTGCTGGGAGAAGAGAAAATCCCGTAGAGGGACCAGGTGGGGGGGGGGGGGGGGGCGGCCTGAGCCGGGGGGGCCCCCGCCCCCCCCCGCCCAAGAGCTGTGACTGGCTGGGGAGGTGCAGGTGTGACAGGCCCAGGGCGAAGGGGTTCCACATTCACAGGAAGAGGAACCCACAGAGAAAACAAAAGGGGCCCCCCAGCAGGGGGAGGGGCACAGTGAGGCGAGTGTCTGTGAGTGCTGAGGGGCGGCACAGGTCCCCTCGCACGCACTGGGGCTCCCCCCACACCTCACTGAGCTGCACTCGAAGTGGTTTTCTTCAGGGTGAAGTTGGTCCAGTTCACGGCCACTTTCTGCCGAGTTTGCTTAGCAGAATCCAGACAGAACCTGGGGAGGGGGAAGAGAGAATCAGGGAAAGAGCAGAGACAGTAACCGCTCCCTGCCCCCCACAGGGCCAGTGCCCAACACATCCACACAACCCCCCCACCCCAAGCCAGGGCTTCTACCCTCCCCACCCTAGCCAGAGCAGGCAAGGTCCCATGGGAGAAAAGTCAAGGGATAAAGGAGCCCAGGAGAAGCGGCAGTTTCTCAAAGAGACAATATTAAAAGTACAACTGCCAACTATCCCGAGCGAAGGAGAGTCAGGAAGAACGGTCAGAGGCCACAAGGAGCCCTTTAACGACCTGAAAATCAAAAAGGAAACGTACAAAAGAACAGCACGAGCACGCAGCGACAAAATCAGTTACACCTGGCAAGGGACAGACAAGACATAAGAGGCTCTATAAATACATTGGGGCAAGAGAAAGATGAAGGAAAGCATAGATCCTCTCCTGCGGAAGGAGGGGGGCGGGATGAGCTCAGAACTGATGACTTCAAGGGGTGGAGGTGTTTACTGCCTGCTTTGCTTCCGTCTTCATTAAAAAGGTTAATGATGACCAGACACTCGACACAATGAACACAGCAAGGGGGCAGAACACAAGCTCAGATAGGGAAAGACCAGGTTAGAGAATATTTAGACAAGCTGAACGTATTTGAGTCAGCAGGGCCTGGGGAAATTCACCCCAGGTTTCTTTAGGAACAAGTGTGCGGATAAAGCCTTTTCTTGTAACCATATGGTCAGGCCTAAGGCCTTTGTCTGCAGCCAGATTAAGAGAGCAGCAGCCATGAGCTACGAATCAGGAAGTCACATCCCCACATTCCATCTACAGGACATTAAAACAAGGTCCTAGCCGGCTGTTTAGGAGGAGACCCCGTCCTAATGGCCCCCACCATCACCAGATAAATAACAGATCTTAAGATGGTTAAAGAAAACTTAGTTTGATAGCATCTGCCTGGCAAGAAACCACTTATTATAGAATCATAGAATATCAGGGTTGGAAAGGACCTCAGGAGGTCATCTAGTCCAACCCCCTGCTCAAAGCAGGACCAATCCCCAACTAAATCATCCCAGCCAGGGCTTTGTCAAGCCTGACCTTAAAAACCTCTAAGGATGGAGATTCCACCACCTCCCTAGGTAACCCATTCCAGTGCTTCACCACCCTCCTAGTGAAATAGTGTTTCCTAATATCCAACCTAGACCTCCCCCACTGCAACTTGAGACCATTGCTCCTTGTTCTGTCATCTGCCACCACTGAGAACAGCCGAGCTCCATCCTCTTTGGAACCCCCCTCAGGTAGTTGAAAGCAGCTATCAAATCCCCCCTCATTCTTCTCTTCTGCAGACTAAATAAGCCCAGTCCCCTCAGCCTCTCCTTATAAGTCATGTGCTCCAGCCCCCTAATAATTTTCGTTGCCCTCCGCTGGACTCTCTCCAATTTATCAACATCCTTCTTGTAGTGTGGGGCCCAAAACTGGACACAGTACTCCAGATGAGGCCTCACCAATGTTGAATAGAGGGGAATGA